TGTAACTATAGAAATGTTAAGGTGTGTCTCCTCTAACATCTGTCCATGTAACTATAGAATTGTTAAGGTGTGTCTCCTCTAACACCTGTCCATGTAACTACAGAAATGTTGAGGTGTGTCTCCTCTAACATCTGTCCTTGTAACTATAGAAATGTTAAAGTGTGTCTCCTCTAAAATCTGTCCTTGTAACTATAGAAATGTTAAGGTGTGTCTCCTCTAACTCCTGTCCTTGTAACTATAGAAATGTTAAGGGGTGTGTCCTCTTACATCTGTCCTTGTAACTATAGAAATGATAAGGTGTGTCTCCTCTAACATCTGTCCTTGTAACTACATAAATGTTAGGGTGTGTCTCCTCTAACATCTGTCCTTGTAACTACATAAATTTTAGGTTGTGTCACCTCTAACATCTGTCCTTGTAACTATAGAAATGTTAAGGTTTGTCTCCTCTAACACCTGTCCTTGTAACTATAGAAATGTTAAGGTTTGTCTCCTCTAACACCTGTCCTTGTTGTCTCCTCTAACATCTGTCCTTGTAACTACATAAATTTTAGGTTGTGTCACCTCTAACATCTGTCCTTGTAACTATAGAAATGTTAAGGGGTGTCTCCTCTAACACCTGTCCATGTAACTGTAGAAATGTTAAGGTGTGTCTCCTCTAACTCCTGTCCTTGTAACTATAGAAATGTTAAGGTGCGTCTCCTCTAACACCTGTCCTTGTAACTATAGAAATCTTAAGGTGTGTCTCCTCTAACACCTGTCCATGTAACTGTAGAAATGTTAAGGTGTGTCTCCTCTAACGTCTGTCCTTGTAACTATAGAAATGTTAAAGTGTGTGTCCTCTAAAATCTGTCCTTGTAACTATAGAAATGGTAAGGTGTGTCTCCTCTAACATCTGTCCTTTTAACTATAGAAATGTTAAAGTGTGTCTCCTCTAACATCTGTCTAGATAACTCTAGAAATGTTAAGGTGTGTCTCCTCTAACTCCTGTCCTTGTAACTATAGAAATGTTAAGGTGCGTCTCCTCTAACACCTGTCCTTGTAACTATAGAAATGTTAAGGGGTGTCTCCTCTAACACCTGTCCATGTAACTGTAGAAATGTTAAGGTGTGTCTCCTCTAACACCTGTCCTTGTAACTATAGAAATGTTAAGGTGTGTGTCCTCTTACATCTGTCCTTGTAACTATAGAAATGTTAAGGTGTGTCTCCGCTAACACCTGTCCTTGTAACTATAGAAATGTTAAGCTGTGTCTCCTCTAACATCTGTCCTTGTAACTACATAAATGTTAAGGTGTGTCTCCTCTAACACCTGTCCATGTCACTATAAATGTTAAGGTGTGTCTCCTCTAACACCTGTCTAGATATAGAAATGTATAGGTGTGTTGTTTTATGAAACTTGTTTAGACATTTTTAGCATATCAATTTTTAGGCAATTTATTGAACTTTTATCAGAAATTATTAATATACTAAGAAGTAACTTTAGCATATTAAAAAAAATGATTATTGTAAAAAACTATTAACTACTGGTTTAATATTTCATTTCAGCACATGAAAATAATTAAATAATCATAAAAGTATGTGTATGTTGATTGATTTGATCTTACTGACTGAAATGGTGAAGGGAAATGAAGCCAATTTTTTTATTGTCAATTTTTATACGCCCATCAAATTTGATGGGAGTATTATGGTATGGCGTTGTCCATCCGTCCGTCCGTCCGTCCGTCCGTCGTAAACTTTTGTTTGTCCAGCAATCTCCACCTACATTGTTCATTTCAGTATTTGAATTTTGTCCGGAGATCTACTCCTACATTTTTCGACCGATCTCTTTGAAACTTGGTATACATTATAATCATGATAGGAAATTGTGTCTCCCTTAAAAGGATTTTGATTAGACAATTTTTCCAAAAGTTATTGCCCTTTGTTCATTTCAGTATTTGATTTTTTTATCCAGAGATTTTTTCCTACATTTTTATAGCATGTCAGCTAACCACTCTTTGAATGATGCAGATCTTATTTCAATGTAAGAAAGTATATAACGCTATATGGCATTCGACGGGCGTATATTGTTCCGCCACGCGGTACTCTTGTTGATGTTTTAAATTTGACTTAGACAATTTTTGTTGTTGGTATTTAAAATCTACAATTTCCAATTTTTGTTGTTATTTGGCATTGGCAATTTTTGTTGCTGTGATTTGACACTGATATTTTAAGCTCACCTGGTCCAATGAATTCGAACCAAGGTGAGCATATGCCATACTGCGGCATCCTTTGTCTGTTGTCTGCTTTTAAGTTGGACTTTAATGTAACTCTCACCCTAACCATATATACAATTGCTGAGTATACTAAAGACAAGTATACACATGCTATCAGGATGGCTTCATGGTCTGGCCCCACCCTTAGAGACTTAGTCCTTTCGTCATAACTTTGAAACAATGGAGATGTGCAGCCATAACCATACAAATGCTGGGCATTAAGAGATAAACAATATCATGATATTAGAATTGATATTGGGGTCTGGCCCTACCCCAGAGACTTAATTCTTGGGCAATAACTTTGAAATGGTCGAGATTCCAACCCCTTAACCATATATACCATTTCTGGTATAAAGAGGCCAACACAATTATGATACTGAAATTAATCCTGGGATCTGGTACCACCACCAGGGGCTTAATTAGGGACCACATCAGAAATGCCCGTGCCCTATAGTAATCACAGTGTCTGTCCATCTGTCTGTCCACACTTTTGTTTCTGGGAATTTTCTCAAAATCTGTTTGAATTTTGTCATGATACACCGAGAAAGGTAGATGTACAATATGGGTTAAACATTTTTCTAAGGTCAAGGTCATTGTTGCTAAAAATACACAACGGGGTCTGGCTCCACCACAAGAGACTTAATTCCCAGGCCATAACTTTGAAACAATTGAGATGTGCAACCATAACCATACAAATGTTGGGCATTAAGAGATAAACAATATCATGATATTATAATTGACCCTTGGGTTTGGCCCTATTCCAGATACTTAATTCCTGGGCCATAACTTTAAAATGGTTGAGAATTCCACAACTCTAAAATCAAATTAACCATTACTGGGCATAATCCAGGTGGTAGTGACACAGGCCCTTTGGGTCTTTTTGGCTATAATTTGACATTGTCATTTTTTGTTGTTGTGAGTTGACATTAACAGTTTTTGTTGTTGTGATTTGACATTGACAGTTTTCGTTGTTGTTGTGGGTTGACATTGACAGTTTCTGTTGTTGTGAGTTGACATTGACAGTTTTTGTTGTTGTGGGTTGACATTGACAGTTTTTGTTGTGGTGAGTTTACATTGACTGTTTCTGTTGTTGTGATTTGACATTGACAGTTTTTGTTGTTGTGAGTTGACATTGACAGTTTTTGTTGTTGTGAGTTGACATTGACAGTTTAAGTTGTGGTGAGTTGACATTGACAGTTTTGTTGTTGTGGGTTGACATTGACAGTTTTTGTTGTGGTGAGTTTAACTTAACTGTTTCTGTTGTTGTGATTTGACATTGACAGTTTTCGTTGTTGTGAGTTGGCATTGACAGTTTTTGTTGTTGTGTGTTGACATTGACAGTTTTTTGTTGTTGTGAGTTGACATTGACAGATATACAAATGGGTTTTCTTCCATGACAGTTTTTGTTGTTGTGATTTGACATTGACAGTTTTCGTTGTTGTGAGTTGACATTGACAGTTTTTGTTGTTGTGTGTTGACATTGACAGTTTTACTGTGGTGAGTTTACATTGACAGTTTTTGTTGTTGTGAGTTGACATTGACAGTTTTTGTTGTTGTGGGTTGACATTGACAGTTTTTGTTTTTGTGAGTTGACATTGACAGTTTTTGTTGTTGTTGGTTGACATTGACAGATTTACTGTGGTTTGTCATTATTTATTTATTTGTGATTCCTTAAGGTTTATAAATGATAGCCATTTCAAAAATAGGAGTTATGAGTACGACATGAAATGTATATGTTTGTAATGCTCTATTTACTTTCAGACACTTGCCCGAGAGGTTTTATGTCTGATGATGGTTTTCCTCCCTGCCGTCCCTGCGCTAAAGATTATTACTGGAGCAATTCTACATATTGTGAACAATGTCCACCCAATACCAGCACTGTAGAACAGAATGGCATGGGAGTTCTTGGGGATTGTAAAGGTATGTTAAGCATTTATCTAATATTTTAAGTATTTTCCCATTTGAACATAATACAGTAAACTTACACATTTTTGTGATGTGGCCACACGAGCCTTTAGACACACCTACCTTTTGAAAAACTAATATACACAGGCATTCGTCACAATTTATTACCCCTGTCCAATGAGGTTGGTAGGGGATATACAAATGGGTTTTCTTCCATGTGTCCGGTATTGCTTAAAAAGTCTTCTAGTTAACCTCATGAAACTTTGAAGGCGCATCATTCCAGTAGTCTAGTGTTGCTGTTTGATATTGAGGAGTTTTCATTTTTGACATTTTCCCAGTTGCCATGGAAATAAATAGCTGGAAATGCAAAAATTGTCGTTTCCGTAGCATACGTCAGGAACTGCTAGAGATAACTACCTAACTCTCTAACCACATGCATCTAGTTGTCCAGTAGTGCCTTCTGCTATTAGGGTAACCATAAGACTAAATAGCAGGAAATGCAAAAATAGTCAACTTATTCTTGATTAAATGCGTTCAACCTAGCACACTGTTGTCATGGTCATGTTTAACTATAGATAACTCTACTACTACAGCCGAACTCTTGCACAGAGATGTTGGATCTCCCAATCCCCGCAATTTATCTCATGATGAAATCTGCCAGTAATTAATTCATAAAGAATAGAAATATCTTTGGTTTTAATGGTGTAAGATGGATTGATTTCTGACAAAAGGGGCAATTTCAGTGTATTTTTTTCTTTTTTCATGGTTTGAATTACGTAGAAAAGAGGGAAAATGCAAATGAGTTTATTTAAAGGTCATAAAGGATATTTGAAATATATTCTTTCAGCTTAAGTAAGTCAAGTAAGGGATTGGTGCTGGAGTTTGTAAGGGGGAGGGGGGAACATAAGGATTTTAAATGTGGACATCTCCCCTTGCACACAAATTCTCCCTTAAAGACCCCCCCCCCCCCCCCTTTCCTCCCCTGTGTTGAATTTATTTGTATATTGTTTTTAGCTCACCTGCCCAAAGGGCAAGTGGGCTTATGCTATGACGCGCCATCCGTCTTCCGTCTGTTTGGCGTCAACTTTTTACTTTAAACAACTTTTTCTCAATAACCAAACAGCCTTGGATGATAATATTTGGCCAGGAGCATGCTGGGATAAAGGGCTACCAAGTTTGTTCAAACAAATGACCTTCACCCATTTTCAAGGTCACAGGGGTCAAATATGTTTAAAACTTTTGAACAACTTCTCCTGAATACCAAAGATGCATAGGATCAAGATATTTGACAAGTATCATGCTCTGATGAAGGGCTACCAAGTTTGTTCAAATGAATGACCTTAATCTATTTTCAAGGTCACATATGTTTAAAACCTTTAAACAACTTCTTCTCAATAACAAAAAGGCCTTAGATGATGATATTTGGTCAGTAACATGGTGGGATGAAGGGCTACCAAGTTTTTTCAATCAATTGACCTGCACCCATCTTCAAGGTCACAGGGGTCAAATATATTTAAAACCTTTAAACAACTTCTCCTGAATACCCTACAAGATGCTTAGGATAATGATATTTGACCAGTATCACGCTGAGATGAAGGGCTACCAAGTTTGTTCAAACAAATGACCTTCACCCATTTTTAAAGTCACAGGGGTGAAACATATTAAAAACCTTTCAACAACTTCTCCTCAATAACCAAAAGGCCTAGGATGATGATATTTGGCTAATATCATGCTTGGATGACTCACGTTTTGACATACATATTTACTCGCATATTGACACACATACTGACATACATATTGACTCACTTACATATTGACACACATACTGACATACATATTGACTCACATATTGGCACACATACTGACATACATATTGACTCACTTACATATTAACACTCATACTGACAAACATATTGACTCACTTATGTATTGACACTCATACTGACAAACATATTAACTCACTAATGTATTGACACTCATACTGACATACATATTAAGTCCCTTACGTATTGAAACACATATTGACACACATATTGACTCGCTTACATATTGACTCACATACTGACATACATATTGACTCACATACTGACAAACATATTGTCTAATTTACATATTGACTCACATTTTGACATACATATTGACACAAACTGACAAACATATTGACTCACTTACATACTGACATATACTGACAAACATAATGACTCACTTACGTACTGACATATAATGACAAACATATTGACTCACTTACATACTGATCGACATATACTGACAAACATATTGACTCGCTTACGTACTGACATACTGACAAACATTGACTCACTTACGTACTGACATATACTGACAAACATATTGACTCACTTACATACTGACATTAAGTGACAAACATATTGACTCACTTACATACTGACATACATATTGAATGGTGGTTGCAACTGATAAAATGTAGAACTGGATTTATATGATACTGACACAAAATGACCTGCTAATAAAATGTACCACATACGCTTTCCTTTTTTAGCTGAATGTCAGGCTGGAATGTTTTCCCCTACTGGCTATGAGCCATGTAAACCATGCCCAACAAATTTCTATCAGGTGTTGACTGGGCAGAAGGGATGTTTGGAATGTCCTGAAACACAGATAACAAACAGTACTGGCAGTAACAGCTCAAACCAGTGTTGGACACCAGGTAAACCATTGTTTTGTGTGATATATAACGAGATATATAACTACCAGTACTAGCAGTATAAAGAACTTGAAGTAACAACTCAGCCCTGTGTGTTGTGTCAGTTAAACCATTGTTTTGTGAGATATATCACGACCAGTACTAGCAGTAACAACTCAGCCCTGTGTGTTATGTCAGTTAAACCGTGATTGTTTTGTGAGATATATAACGACCAGTACTGGCAGTAACAACTCAGCCCTGTGTGTTGTGTCAGGTAAACCATTGTTTTGTGAGATATATCATGACCAGTACTAGCAGTAACAACTCAGCTCTGTGTGTTGTGTCAGTTAAACCATTGTTTTGTGTGATATATCACGACCAGTACTAGCAGTGACAACTCAGTCCTGTGTGTTATGTTAGGTAAACCATTTGTAAGAATTATTTATGATCATTCTTTGACTGCTATCTACTCTGTCACAATCAAAATGTCACACAAAAACTTTTCAATTGTTGTCATATATTAACCTGTATACAGTCTTCAATTACAAATCTAAAGAAAATGTTAAAAAAGCAGGAACTTATACATAGGAACCAATCACTAGTATCGGTACCACTTTGATATAGTTTATATAGTCTGTGGTATCATAGGAACCAATCACTAGTATAGGTACCACTTTGATATAGTTTATATAGTCTGTGATATCATAGGAACCAATCACTAGTATAGGTACCACTTTGTTATAGTTTGGGTAATCTGTGGTATCAAAGGAACCAATCACAAGTATAGGTACCACTTTGATATAGTTTATATAGTCTGTGGTATCATAAGAACCAATCACTAGTATAGGTACCACTTTGTTATAGTTTATATAATCTGTGGTATCACAGGAACCAATCACTAGTATAGGTACCACTTTGATATAGTTTATGTAATCTGTGATATCACAGGAACCAATCACTAGTATAGGTACCACTTTGTTATAGTTTATATAATCTGTGGTATCATAGGAACCAATCTCTAGTATAGGTACCACTTTGATTTAGTTTATATAATCTGTGGTATCATAGGAACCAATCACTAGTATAGGTACTACTTTGATTTAGTTTATATAATCTGTGGTATCATAGGAACCAATCTCTAGTATAGGTACCACTTTGATTTAGTTTATATAATCTGTGGTATCACAGGAACCAATCACTAGTATAGGTACCACTTTGTTATAGTTGATGTAATCTGTGGTATCACAGGAACCAATCACTAGTATAGGTACCACTTTGTTATAGTTGATGTAATCTGTGGTATCACAGGAACCAATCACTAGTATAGGTACCACTTTGATATAGTTTATATAATCTGTGGTATCATAGGAACCAATCACAAGTATAGGTACCACTTCGTTATAGTTTATATAATCTGTGGTATCACAGGAACCAATCACTAGTATAGGTACTACTTTGTTATAGTTGATATAATCTGTGGTATCACAGGAACCAATCACTAGTATAGGTAATATTTTGATATTATTCATATAATCTGTGGTGTCATAGGAACCAATCTCTAGTATAGGTACCAATTTGTTATAGTTTATATATCTGTGGTATCATAGGAACCAAGCTCTATTATAGGTACCACTTTGTAATAGTTTATGTAATCTGTGGTATCATAGGAACCAATCTCTATTAGTTTATATAGTCTGTGATATCATAGGAACCAATCACTAGTATAGGTACCACTTTGTTATAGTTGATGTAATCTGTGGTATCACAGGAACCAATCACTAGTATAGGTACTATTTTGATATAGTTTATGTAATATGTGGTATCACAGGAACCAATCACTAGTATAGGTACTATTTTGATATTATTCATATAATCTGTGGTATCATAGGAACCAATCTCTAGTATAGGTACCACTTTGTTATAGTTTATATATCTGTGGTATCATAGGAACCAATCTCTATTATAGGTACCACTTTGTAATAGTTTATGTAATCTGTGGTATCATAGGAACCAATCTCTAGTATAGGTACGATTTTGATATAGTTTATTTAATCTGTGGTATAATAGGAACCAATCACTAGTATAGGTACTATTTTGTTATAGTTTATTTAATCTGTGGTATCATAGGAACCAATCTCTATTAGTTTATATAGTCTGTGATATCATAGGAACCAATCACTAGTATAGGTACCACTTTGTTATAGTTGATGTAATCTGTGGTATCACAGGAACCAATCACAAGTATAGGTACCACTTCGTTATAGTTTATATAATCTGTGGTATCATAGGAACCAATCTCTATTATACGTACCACTTTGTAATAGTTTATGTAATCTGTGGTATCATAGGAAACAGGAACCAATCACTAGTATAGGTACTATTGTGATATAGTTTATATAATCTGTGGTATCACAGGAACCAAGCACTAGGATAGGAACCACTTTGTTATAGTTTAGGTAATCTGTGGTATCATAGGAACCAATCTCTAGTATAGGTACCACTTTGTTATAGTTTCTGTAATCTGTGGTATCATAGGAACCAATCACTAGTATGGGTACCACTTTGATATAGTTTATATAATCTGTAGTATCACAGGAACCAATCACTAGGATAGGAACCATTTTGTTATAGTTTATGTAATCTGTGGTATCATAGGAACCAATCACAAGTATAGGTACCACTTCGTTATAGTTTATATAATCTGTGGTATCATAGGAACCAATCAATAGTATAGGTACCACTTTGATATAGTTTATATAATCTGTGGTATCACAGGAACCAATCACTAGGATAGGAACCACTTTGTTATAGTTTATGTAATCTGTGGTATCATAGGAACCAATCTCTAGTATAGGTACCACTTTGTTATAGTTTATGTAATCTGTGGTATCATAGGAACCAATCTCTAGTATAGGTACTATTTTGATATAGTTTATTTAATCTGTGGTATCATAGGAACCAATCTCTAGTATAGATACCACTTTGTTATAGTTTATATAATCTGTGGTATCACAGGAACCAATCACAAGTATAGGTACCACTTTGTTATAGTTTATGTAATCTGTGGTATCATAGGAACCAATCTCTAGTATAGATACCACTTTGTTATAGTTTATATAATCTGTGGTATCACAGGAACCAATCTCTAGTATAGGTACCACTTTGTTATAGTTTATATAAGCTTTTTGAAGTACACCTCTTTCATTCATGTTTTAGAATTATGTCCTGCATCTCCCACACCATGCAGTGGAAATGGTTCATGCAGTGTGAAAAACCATGAAAAGTTCTGCAACTGCAATTCAGGTATTTAGAGTGACACCGCCAATACCAGCCTGTATTAATAACAATGTTACAATATAATTAAAAGGAAAATATGTTTTGTAGCTTTTGGATTAGCAATTACATGAATAAAATTGGAACGTTGTATAAAAGATTATTGTGGCCCCTTATATATATAATTAGGGCGGAGGAGCAGAACTGAATAGGGTAAATAGGAGACTTAAGTCTGCATGTGTCAGGTGCAAGGCAGGCTAGTCTGAGACCAGTGAAATCTCCATCTGGACTAGCTAGTGGTTTTAAAAGCTGCTAGTCCAATTTTCTAGACAAAATTTTAAATTACTTATAACGTTCAATGATATTGGGTGAGTAGAATTTGCACAAGGACTAGTAAAATGAAGTATACCGTTGATGATCCTGAAGAGATGAAAACACTCAGGCTACCAATATATTTGACATGGCATAATCATTTGTGTGTGAGGTGTAATGGCGGATACCTATTGGATGTATATGGTAGGGCTAGTGACATCAAATATCCCTAATCCTTTACCTGGGCCCGTATATATGAAACCGTTCTCATGCTCAAGCATGGATTCTGATGTGCTGAAGCCAACTTTCTTGTTACTCGCTTAAATCCTGTAAAACAATCAAAAAGTCAAATGTAAACATTGAAACAGTAGTTAGCTTCAAGTCTCTTCAAAATGTTTCCAAAGCATTGACAAAATAAGATGTATTTATTAAGTTACAACAAGAACAATAAGTTAGACTTGAGCACAAAATCCATGCTTGAGCATGAGAACGGTTTCATGAATACGGGCCCTGTACTAATGGAGAAAAGTAGTCTTTTTACATTATACATTGTATTGGTATGGAAGTTAGACCATTATGTATTTTAATTATTCAGATGATTTGTTTAAGGAAGTATTCAGAAATGCAATCCTGATTGCAATGTGAATTTCTGGTGATTAAGGTGTTGTATTTTTTGTGTGCTATATTTTTAACAGGATACTATGGTATGTGTAAGTTTTGTGTGCTATATTTTGGACAGGATACTATGGTATGTGTAATTTTTGTGTGCTATATTTTTGACAGAATACTATGGTATGTATGTATGTGTAAGTTTTGTGTGCTATATTTTGGACAGGATACTATGGTATGTGTAATTTTTGTGTGCTATATTTTTTGACAGAATACTATGGTATGTATGTATGTGTAAATTTTGTGTGCTATATGTTTGACAGGATACTCTGGAAGCGATTGTCAACTCATGAACAATTTCTGTGATGAGAGTCCTTGTGTCAGAGGAACTTGTAATAATAACCAAGGTATTAGCTTCACCTGCACATGCGATACAGGTAAGTTATTTAAATTTTCAGAGAAAATTGGGGATATTAATTTGAGTGTATCTGTATGTTTTAAACATAGTATTGGAATGTTGGGAGAAAAATAATCATCCCCTACCTTGAGGGTGTGAAAGGGAATTCTCCAACCCTTGAAATGATTGTTTGAGCCAAGGGTTGGACAACCAAATGATCAACCTGAGAGTTGGAGATTCTTTGTCACACCCTCAACGTAGGAAAAGATTCTATTTATCCTACATATGAATATTACTTCCTCCTTTATATAAAAATGAAGTCGTTCAGACTCCCCTTTTATTTTAAGGTTCTATTTTCGATTCAAAAGTCACCATTTTTGGTGGCCAGGTGATGCTGTTTCTTTTCTAGACCAACTTTTTTTCAAAAACTAGTGCTCAACAAATTCTGTGGACAATGTCAGTCAATACTCAGAATTAATGCTTACAGGTTTTACTGGGGACCGGTGTGATAGAGACACTACAAACCGTTGTACACCAAACACTTGCCAAGCTGGATCATGTAGAAATATAAAGAACGGTGCTGACTGTCTCTGTCCTCTTACTGGAGGATTCACACAGCCAAGGTAAGTAAAATATCTGGTCCTATATATCATAAACAGAACACAGCTTCATATTTTGATTCCCAAAATTTACTTTTTGCTTTTCAGTAACAGGTCATTTCAGTTTATTAGGCCCCCGCATTGGAGATGGGGGTGCACTATAGTAATCAGTGTCCATTCACAATTTTATTTCCGACCTTATCTCCGAAACCAAAAGGCCTACCTTTCTGAAATTTGAAACGGTGATACCCTGTGAAATGTAAATGACAATACAGGATCATACCTGCTAATCCCTGAATCTCCCAATGGGGGTCATGACCCCTATTGGAAAAATCTGTGGGCGGTGATAACGCATGACAAAAAATTCACGTCAAAATTAATCATTTAATTTTTGCGACGTCACGGCATAACATATGTAATTGTGTCTTCTGGTATGGTTTAGGACTTTTTTAAAATAAATAAAACAACTCTTATTTTCACACATTTTGTTTTATTACATTCTCTCTTTTCAAAATACTGATTTCCCTGTACATACAGGTAGTTTGAGTTAATTGTAGAAAACTTGGCATCTGATGCATACTGGAAGCATGAACTCATCTAGAAGCTCCTCTATCTATTTCTCCCTCTCATCTGCATGTACTACATTGGGAATCTGACTGTCTGCAGGTTGGAAACTGGAAAAAATAAAATATGCATTTATGTTAAATACAGATTTTAAAGCAATCTTGCGATCGCGATATGGGAAAGCATTTTCATGCAGATTTTGGTAAATTAGAATGATCTGTCGTTGAGAAAGTAATATGCTCAGCACTGAAGTTGCTTAATAACGTGACTTTGCGTTTATAACCTTGTCGTCAGACATTGGAAATTCGATAATCGTATGTTTTATCATAAAACGCACCCCTACCTATCGAAAATAATTAAGTATACAGTACAGTTTACAATAAGAATGATCAGGCTCAATATTTTTATGACATAACAAAGCCACTCAAAATCCCTTTTCCACAAAGTATTACAATAGCAGACATACTTTTTTTTTTTCTACGTTTAACGCAGTCCGAATTACGGTTGTGCATGTGAAATCGCACTGTTGTAATAGTAAACAGTACTCGCCTTTCAAATTTGCCTGGCTTCCACGAAAGAGAGACTGCCATTGTGAAAACATTTCAAATGGTGTACAGACTTTACCCATAAGTTAATGCTAAGACATACTAATACGAGCATGGATGCGAGTGATTCCGGGTCATGTTGACGGAATGCGGGAGATTTGTATCACCGGCGTGGGTCATAAGTTGGTTGCATTGCGGGTGATAAGTTAATTTTGCGGGTGTGACCCGCAGGATGCAGGTCATTTAGCAGGTATGCAGGTTGAGCAATTTTATAAGGTCCAGGGTTGAGGTCATTGTTACTAAAGCTAGACCATAGGAGTACATTCCTTATCTTGGAGAATCCGGAAGTCTATTGTTTGGAAGTTTGGTGATATACTGTGATAATTATGTAGATGTGCAAGAGCTTGAGAGGTTTAAAAAGTTACGGCCAAGATAAGGGTCACTGTTACTAAAAACAGATTTTGGGGGTGGTCAGTCACGCACATGGTGAGGCCTTTGCTGACCTGTCAGTGTTCTGGTTCATGCTAATTCACTTAAAAGTAAAGGTATATATAGCAAATGGTCCGTCCATCTGATTCTAATTTTGTCAGCTGAATCTTCTCTAATAAAAACCTCACAGATATGTTTATCAAGAGCCGATGATGTGTGTCCTGTAACATTCTCAGCTCTATAACCTACAGGTCAAGGTCAGATCAAAGGCCAAATAACCATAAAGCATAAGGTCATATCTTCTAAATGGCTCAGATAACTGATATTTAGCCGGAAGCTTTCTGAGGTAAAGTGGTATCACAATTGTTGAGATAAATGTTCTTCACAGACATTTTCAAGGTCACAAGTCCCTTGAGAAATATGTGTTCAAATCATCGAATGACACATTCTTCAGAACCATTTAGCATAGAGTTCTGTATTTTGCCTTTAAATTATTGTTGGGTGAAGCCAGCTTACTTTTATTCAAATAAATGCCCTTGACCTTCAATCAAAATTACAAGGGTCAAAAGTTGTTAAAAAGGTTTAAAGGACTCCTTCTGATGAAACACGAGTAATACTATTAAGCCTGTATTGTTGTGGGGTCAGGTACATTGGTAAATACCCAGGTTAAATTGATCTTAATTTCACAGGGACCAACTGCCTTGATATTTTGAATACTTTCTTCTTGATAACGATGAAAAATGCAGTTGTGATATTTAGCCTTAATCAGCTTGTACCTGTTGGGAGTAACTGCTCAAATATGCATCAAAGCTGTTGTAATAAATAAGAAATAACTTAGTCAGAAGTTACAGTTGGTTAGCTCACCAGACCATTAGACTAACAGAACTACTAGGCCTGTATTCATTAGCTTTTCAGGAGTTATAGGCTATAATTGAGCAAGCTAGCCTCTAGTTTTGAGAAAGCTTGCTTATATACTTATTTATTTAGTAAAAGAACATCAGTCTTTCCTTTAATTTATCTGTGTTTTGAAAACCTAGATACATATTGTGAGTTGCTTTTACTGTTATATTTATGAAAGGCAATGATAATAATACAAGCATCACTCATTTCCTGTTTTATTTTGAAACTGAATAATTGTTGTAAAAAGGCAGATTTAGTATTGTGTAAAAGTTATTTTCTAAGTCTTTGTTATTTCCTTTGATTATAGCTGTGAACGTTTGGACAACTTGTGTGCTGGCATCCAGTGTTCTAATGGCGGTACCTGTGTCGCCTTTGGGTCTGTTCGTAAACAATGTCTCTGTCAGCCGGGATATACTGGTGAAAACTGTGAAATCAATATAAGTAAGTAAAGTGTGGCGTGTAATGGAACACCTAGAGCTCACAATAATGTATTGTAAAAAAAGAAGTCACGTTAGAGAGAAGGATATCGTTATTGTTTGGTAACATAGCATCTGGTACAGCATACAAGTAATGTTTTATATTATAAGTGTCCTAATGGTATGAACTCAGTGGCTTAATACAAACATACTTATTATTGAGTCTTACGTAATAAAGCAATACATTTGTTTTATGCAGATGAGTGTACTTTGAACCCACAAGGCTGTTTGTATAATGGCACATGTAGTGACGGTGTCAACGCCTACAGCTGCCAGTGTAGACCTGGCTTCAGTGGTAACAGGTGCCATGTCCGTAACAACTTCTGCAGCACTGACCCTTGTGCAGATGCTGAATGCTACAACGACTATGACAACTATAAATCAGTATGCGTATGTCATGATGGATTTGAAGGTACTATCATGGAGTGTTAAAATTCATTTTGCATCCATATTCAGAATTTCTTTAAATCTTAAAAGGGTTACAAATCTGAAAGATGAATATCTTGTTTGAAAAAGAAAATATAATTATACATTTTTGCCAAAGATTGTGCTATTAAATCCCAAACTGTTTGATACAGCAACAGTATCATTGTTGTTGGTAATTTTAAAATGCAATAAAGAGAAAATTTAATGGATTTCCATTTCGATACCATATGTATCTATTTCACTTGTATGGGATAATATTCTGATGTTTCCACTCATGAAAAATATATATTGTACTCAACATAAAAAACCAATATATATTCACAAAACATTCGTATGGCAAACTTTACCGTTATTTTTACTGTGAAAAATATCAGTATCCTGCAATACTCGTGACATTAGCTCTGAAGAGCTAGAAGAGTTATTATGACGACAAAACATAAGAATAAATATCATTGCAAGGTAATAAAACATATTTATCATCTATACATATACTACTTTATACCACCTACCAGTAGCATGATAAATTCATTATCATTGGTTGTCAGTATGAAAAATAGTTGAGAAAGGCTTGAGAAGAACTTAAGAACGGATTTCCCCATCTCCAGCACTTGGGAACGTATTTTCTCAAAAAAGAACGTCTGCTCGCTCCAGATGACGTCCGAAACCGGAAATAGTGTCCAAACAAAAATGATCTGTGTAAGAAAATGGTCTGTCATAAACATATCAATACAAAGTTAGGAAAAATATTGTGAGAATAACAACACCATTTCAGTTGTAAATGTGCATCTGGAAAAGCCAATGACGATAGGATTGTTTTAAAAATATTTATTCTATGTAGTTTTAAGGTTCATTGTATTCCTCCGTGCAAAACTTCTATTTGTTTACGTTTGTCATCCTTGACCATTGAGCTTAAAAGTCATTTGGAAAACATGGTGTTTAGTTGAGTTTTTTAAATGGAGAAATATATAAGGTAGTAGTATATAGATGATAAATAGTTTACCTTACAGTATTTTCAGTGTTTGTCATCCATATACAGTGATAATCTATAAATAAAAACTACTAAAGCTAGGTATAAGAGATTTTTTTCAAACATGATAATAAAAAGTACGTAGATAAGAGCAAGCACAAATCTCATGCAAATCTGATTGTGTAAGGATATATCTTTGAAGGGGCTTAAACAGTTTTACCTATCCTTAGTTTATAATTAATGTTATGGAACTGACTTATTTCATTAGGACTGGTAGGTGGTATGAAGAAAAATGTGTAAATTAGATTGAATAGATCTGTGATAACTTTACCTGTGCTCAACTTAAGTTTTCTACTCATAACTTGACCAAAATAGAAAACTATTCCTTACATTATAGTACTTTTCTGTAAATGTTTCCCAACTATTTTTGACATTTTCATAACTTAATGATGTATAATCAGTTCAATAAAAGTAACAGCCAGAAATTTGCAGAAATCTTGGTTTACTCTGCCAACATCTACTGTTGATAAGTTCCTGTAATAGTGTCTCGTTAATGGAAAGTTTGCGTAGCTCGGCTCGACTTTCTGAATTGTCAACACCATGGAAACTTGTTCAGGTTTTATGGTCAGACTATAAGATGATACCTCCAGTTTGTGAGGACAATGGTTATTGAGTGAATGTCTGTGTAAACAGTATATAAACAATAAAAATCAGACTAACAAAAATATTCAACTTATCAGATGGTACAACTATTGTTGTATACTGTAGGAGCACTTGGTCAAATAGATACTAACATTGTATAGCAGTAAAATGAATTATTGATTACTGTATTACAGTTTTAATCATCAACAAATTACATAAGTATTGGTCATGAAAAGTTCTTTTTTACACAACCAATAAAAGTTTCTATGTGACGTTTCAATGACTAGTACGGTATGTACACTGTCACCTTCATCAGACAAATGACCAGTGAAGCATGGTGCTGGATCGAGACAACTTACCTGAGACTAATTGGCTCCTTTAAACCTTCCGACTTAAGCTACGGAAATACAGTAATGAAAAATTAAAAGAAAAACTCAGAATGAACATAACAAATAATTTGAATGTTTTTCTTGTGTTACATTTGTAGTACAAGATGCTGGAAATGGGAAATGTACATCTACGGTGAAGTGTCCTCTGGGTAATGCATTCTGTAATAATGGCAGCTGCAACAACGATAAGTGTTTCTGTCTGAATGGCTATACAGGTTCACGCTGTCAGCATGACTTTACAGACTGTACCATGAACTCGTGCAAGAATGGTGGAACATGTGTAGACAAACATTCGGGTTTTGACTGTATGTGTATGTCTGGCTATACAGGTGAGTCTGTCTGACGTACACCATCTGTGTAATACTGTAATAAAATGTCTTAACTATACAGGTGAGTCTGTCTGACGTACACCATCTGTGTAATACTGTAATAAAATGTCTTAACTATACAGGTGAGTCTGTCTGACGTACACCATCCGTGTAATACTGTAATAAAATGTGTTAACTATACAGGTGCGTCTGTCTGACGTACATCATCTGTGTAATACTGTAATAAAATGTGTTTACTATACAGGTGAGTCTGTCTAACGTACACCATCTGTGTAATACTGTACTATAATCTGTTAACTATACAGGTAAGTCTGTCTAACGTACACCATCTGTGTAATACTGTACTATAATCTGTTTACTATACAGGTGAGTCTGCCTAACGTACACCATCTGTGTAATACTGCCTGTAAATTTTTAACCGTTTAAGATATCTTGATCAAACTTGAAGTATACCTGCATCCCTAACAGAAGGTGTGCAGTGCACTGGAATTAGGTCTTGTGCCCCACTATATACAGAGTTATTGCCCTTTGTTTATTTTTTATACGGAAGTTTGTCCCGAGCATAAGTTCCATGTTATTTCACCTTCATTGACCAAATTTACCATATTCATGTATCTTGGGAAGGCGGAATCTCTCGCACTGCAATCGGGTCTTGTGCCCCACTATATTAAAAGTTTAAATAAAGTAAACGAAGAAGCATCAACACCAAGGATTCCGTTACAGGAAGAGGTTTTATTGTTGACATGTTTAAGTTTATAAAAAATAATGAGCCATTAGAGGAACCAGATTGTAATCAGATGTGTGAAAATTCCTATTTTTATATACATGTTAATGTTTCTATTATAAGTACCAAAGCTGCCGAAACTTAACAAAATTGTTAAGACAATAATTTAAATGTTTAATGGTTTAGGATATACACACCTTTATCTTGATGTGACCTTTCTATTCTTCCTAATATTGGCTAATAAGGAGACATTCTAGTTTAAACTAATGTTCTTGAACCACTTTCAAGGTCTTAGGGGTCGAATGTATGAAACAATTGCTTCTGAATTACTAAGAAGTATTGGGCAATGATATTTTTCCTGTAGCTTAATAGTAAAGTGATATGAAGTGTTGGAGCTGAAAAAAAGATCTAGACAAGGTCACGTTAGTAACAGAAGTAAATCTTTGACCTTTAAACTCTTTGAAGGTCACAGATGTAAGATGAATAACAGGTAAGAGCAATAAAGACCACTTGAGTTTGATAAGATGAACACAATTTGATCGTGCTATCAGAATAGGCAATGGGGGTCTGTCTCTTCCTTTTAAGACTAAGTCCATGGGGCACAACGAGACCCAAACTGTTTAACCATATAAACAATTTCTTGGTGTAAAAGACCAATAGACATTCTACCCGATTGATATTTAAGGGTAAAAACCCCTTCCCTTAGGGACTTAGTCTTTGGCTTATACCCATGGGTTTGGAAACATAGCCCAAATGGAGAGCCAAAGTTAGATTTGTTATACTCAAGAAACTAAATTTTAATAAACCAGCTCTAGGATTGTCTACGCCTTATCTTGTATGTCGTGTATACAATCTAGTTTAAAAAAAAGGAAGAATCCAAGTCGAACAAATATACTCATAATCTCATATTGCCAAATAATGTGCATTTTTGAAAATATTGACTTGCAGCAAATTTATATTTGATTAACCATTTGAAATGCTATAACGGAATGACTGTTGTTTTGTAGGGAACGACTGCAGTGTCAACATTAATGATTGTTTGGGTCAGTGCCAAGGTGAACATGTCATTTCAACAAGCGTAGGATGTATGGACAAAGTTAATGACTTCATGTGCAACTGTGAAGCAGGATGGACAGGCAAAAACTGCACAGTGAGTCTTATTTCTACATTGAAGTAATAAGGGATGATATAGTGTTTAAAGCACTAAATGGTCCCTTCATTATGACAAACCCCTTCCAACTAATTGAGGGGGTAGGAGGTATATAATAGTCACTGTCAGTGCATCCAAATTTAGTTTTTATTGGCTCACCAGTCCGAAGGGCTAGTGCTATGGCGAAGCGTCTGACATTGGTCCGTCGTTCATCAACTTTTCCTTTAAGCAACTTCTACTGAAGAAAGGATAGGACTAGAGTCATGATATTTGGCTGAAAGCATCGTTGGTAAAAGCACCACTAAATTTGAGAATGAAAAATGACCTTGACCTTCTTTCAAGGTCACAGGGGTCTCAAATGTGTCAAATACTTAAAAAGACTTCTTCTGCAGAACTGAAAGGTATAGAATCTTAATATTGGCGGGTAACTTCTTTTGATTGAGCACTACAAAGTTTGAGAATGAAAATGACCTTGACCTACACTTTAATGATCACAGGGGTAAAATATGTCGAACCCTTCAAACAACTTCTTCTGTAGAACTGAAAGAACTGAAGACGCCATCATCCAAATATTGAGATTGTGTTATCATTTGGCTGGTGGCTTCTTGGAATAGAGCCTGACAAAGTTTGAGAATGAAAATGACCTTGACCTACTTTCAAGGTCACAGGGGTAAAATATAGCAAAAACATCAGAAGATTTCTGATGAATAATTAAATGGCATAAAATCATAATATTTGGCTGTAGGTTTCACGGATTGAGCTCAACTAAGTTTGCAATTGAAAATTACTTCAACCTGCTATCAAGGTCACAGGGGTCAAATATAGCAAAAACTGTAAACAGCTTTTTTTGAGAAAGGGAATGGCATAGACTTCCAAGTGTTACAACTGAATGAGTTTGTAAGACTTTCAAGTCACTGTGGTGAAATGTGTTGAAATCTTATAACAGGTTGTTTTGAATAACCAAGAAACATAGGTAAAGAGTTTGATCCTATAGGTTTATATAAATCTTATTTGGTATAAAGTATTCTTTGATCCTAAAGGTTTATATAAATCTTATTTGATATAAAGTATTCTTTGATCCTATAGGTTTATATAAATTGTATTTGATATAAAGTATTCTTTGATCCTATAGGTTTATATAAATCTTATTAGATATAAAGTATTCTTTGGTCCTATAGGTTTATATAAATCTTATTTGATATAAAGTATTCTTTGATCCTATAGGTTTGTATAAATCTTATTTGATATAAAGTATTCTTTGATCCTATAGCTATATATAGGTTTATATAAATCTTATTTGATATAAAGTATTCTTCGATCCTGTAGGTTTATATAAATCTTATTTGATATTAAGTATTCTTTGATCCTATAGGATTATATAAATCTTATTTGATATAAAGTATTCTTGGCCCAATATGATTATTCTTGACCAAATATGATTCAATGTTGTATAAACCATGCCCCAACCCCAAAGGGTACAAAGGAATGGGACCCAATAAGGTAAGGGTGTTGCTGAGGGACAGAGCCAATGTTTGGAATATGTGTAGTACAGTAAAACATTTAATGAAAACTTTTGCTATGACTGCTTTAATGTCCTGGTGAGCAATACAGTCCCACTGGGCATTATAGTATGGTAACATTAAGTCAAACACTTGATTATATTTTTGGTCATTGGTCAAGGTTAAAGGGTCAAAAGTTATGAGAAAATCAGGATGGGAAGGAATGAGGGTGGTGTAGTGGGGTATATCAATGTGAGCCTCTGATCACTTATTTACCAAAATCTGAAACAACTGTTAAACCCTGATGTAAAGTTTAATGTTTTGATAGCAAGAGACCTGGTGTCATTATAACTGGTCTTCAGCATGCTAGTGTATTTGTTGAATGACTTAACATACTTTTAAGGCAACTCGTTTGATTTATTGGAACACTTTGCTGAAATGATGAGAGGAAGCATAATACATACAATTGGTACCATCTTGGTGCATCACTACTGCTTTTTATTTACAGGAGAACATTGATGAATGTGCTAGCTACCCTTTTTACTTACAGGAGAACATTGATGAATGTACTAGCTACCCTTTTTATTTACAGGAGAACATCGATGAATGTGCTAGCTACCCTTTTTATTTACAGGAGAACATCGATGAATGTGCTAGCTACCCTTTTTATTTACAGGCGAACATTGATGAATGTGCTAGCTACCCTTTTTATTTCCAGGAGAACATTGATGAATGTACTAGCTACCCTTTTTATTTACAGGAGAACATTGATGAATGTACTAGCTACCCTTTTTATTTACAGGAGAACATTTGTGAATGTGCTAGCTACCCTTTTTATTTACAGGAGAACATTGATGAATGTACTAGCTACCCTTTTTATTTACAGGAGAACATTTATGAATGTGCTAGCTACCCTTTTTATTTACAGGAGAACAGTGATGAATGTGCTAGCTACCCTTTTTATTTACAGGAGAACATTGATGAATGTACTAGCTACCCTTTTTATTTACAGGAGAACATCGATGAATGTGCTAGCTACCCTTTTTATTTACAGGAGAACAGTGATGAATGTGCTAGCTACCCTTTTTATTTACAGGAGAACATCGATGAATGTGCTAGCTACCCTTTTTATTTACAGGCGAACATTGATGAATGTGCTAGCTACCCTTTTTATTTACAGGAGAACATTGATGAATGTGCTAGCTACCCTTGCAGGCATGGAGCAAGCTGTACTGATGGGGATAATACCTACACATGTAATTGTACAATAGGTTGGACTGGACAAAATTGTGATACTGCAATAAACAACTGCCCTGACAATAAATGCAAAAATGAAGGAAACTGCTTCAACATGAATGAAGGATTCTTCTGCAGGTATAGGATATTTTCTGTGTGCATATCATCCATTCTACACTTGTATCAGACATTTAAAAAGTATGTAAAAAAAAGTAGACATTTTAGAGGTATATCATTAAGAATTACCAGGTATATAAGACATTATACAGTTAAATTAGACTACCTACAGGTATATTAATCAACCTACAGGTATATTAATCATCCTACAGGTATATCAGACAACTAACAGAAATATCAGACAACCTACACGTATATTAAATATTCTTATAAATATTCTTCAGGTACATCAGACACTCTTAAGGTACATCAGACACTCTTCAGGTACATCAGACACATCAGGCACTCTAAAGGTACATCAGACAATCTAAAGGTACATCAGACACTCACTCTAAAGGTATATCAGACACTCCCTCTAAAGGTACATCAGACACTCTTCAGGTACATCAGACACTCTTAAGGTTCATAAGACACTCTAAAGGTACATCAGACACTCTCCAGGTACATCAGACACTCTCCAGGTACATCAGACACTCTTCAGGTACATCAGACACTCTTCAGGTATATCAGACACTCTAAAGGTACATCAGACACTCTAAAGGTACATCAAACACTCACTCTAAAAGTACATCAGACACTCTAAAGGTACATCAGACACTCTTCAGGTACATCAGACACTCACTCTAAAGGTACATCAGACACTCTAAAGGTACATCAGACACTCTAAAGGTACATCAGACACTCTAAAGGTACATCAGACACTCTAAAGGTACATCAGACACTCTAAAGGTACATCAGACACTCTAAAGGTACATCAGACACTCTAAAGGTACATCAGACACTCTAAAGGTACATCAGACACTCTAAAGGTACATCAGACACTCTAAAGGTACATCAGACACTCTAAAGGTACATCAGACACTCTAAAGGTACATCAGACACTCTACAGGTACATCAGATACTCTAAAGGTACATCAGACACTCTAAAGGTACATCAGACACTCACTCTAAAGGTACATCAGACACTCACTCTAAAGGTACATCAGACACTCTTCAGGTAACTTAGACAACCTTCAAATATATCAAACATTTTTCAGGTAAATCAGACAACTTACACATATATTTAATATTCTTTAGGTAAATCAGACAACCTACACATATATTTCACATTCTTTAGGTAAATCAGACAACCTTCACATATATTTTACATTCTTTAGGTAAATCAGACAACCTACACATATATTTTACATTCATTAGGTAAATCAGACAACCTACACATATATTTTAAATTCAAGTAAATCTGACTACCTACAGGTATATTAACTCATTCAGCCCTGGAGACACATTTTAACTCTTCCAATGCAAAGGTTGGAATAGTTCATTATGAAATTTAAGGGATTAATGAGTACAACATTCTTCAGATAAATCAGACAACCTACAGTTATATTAGACAACCTACAGGTAAATCAGACAATGTACAGGTATATCAGACAATCTACAGATATAACATACAACCTATAGGTATATCAGACAACCTATAGGTATATCAGACATTCTACAGGTAAATCAGACAATGTACAGGTATATCAGACAATCTACAGATATAACATACAACCTACAGGTATATCAGACAACCTACTGGTATATCAGACATTCTACAGGTATATCAGACAACCTTCTGGTATATCAGACATTCTACAGGTATATCAGACAACCTACAGGTATATTTGACTACCGACAGGTATATCAGACATTCTTCTAGGGCCTTTTGTTGTATTGAGGTATAATGCTCAGGCATATGGGTCTGTTATTTATTAATATTTGTTTATTAGAGAATCTTTTTTGATTCAGTTGCCTTGGAGGAACAACAGGGAAAACATGCTCCAACTTCCCTCCTGTTTGTAACACCATCACTCCATGTACTGCAGCCAAAGGACAGTGTGTTGATGAGGAAGGCACAGCAAAGTGTGACTGCATACCAAGTAAATTTCTCATTGTCATTTATTGATTGCTTGTTGTTTATTTCTGGTAGATTTATCATCACTAGTTGTCTGCTTGTTGACTTGACCTGTAACATGGTACTGGTCCAGCCTCTAAACTATGTCTTTAACTTCAACATGTAGATTGTTCATCCTGCAGTACTCTTGTTAATGAAGTTCCAGAAGGCCTTGAGAAATAGGGGTTGTCAATGTGTTTGAAATGATTAACCTTGAAATTGGTTCAAGGTCACTGAGACAAAATCTGTTAGTATTACTGCAAACAACATTATATCAAAAAGTTCCTAAGGTCTAGAGCAGTATGTTATGAAGACCAGCCATGCACAATATGTATGCCCCGCCATAAAATGGGGGGGGGGGGGGGGGATATAGTGTTGCCCATGTCTGTCCCGTCCCGTCCCACCCATGAGCGGGGGCATTTATGTCTTACAAACATTTTCTAGTTCTTAAATATTGTGTTGAGGTCAAGGTAAGTTTTAAGAGCTGGCAGGGATGAAAGGTTCATTCGAGGTTTTGTATTCAAGACTACTTCTCCTGAAACATTTGCTGGATTTTAATTGCTGTTGACATTTAACATCATTAGGACAGGTCTTTGTCCCCTAGAGGCAGAGAAAGGACAATTTGGATGTTTTAAACATTAGATGTAGACTCCCAAGTATTTTTAATTTTAACTAAAATTATGATTTATAGGAAATAAATGAAGGCTGTAGCCATCCAGGATCACAGGGTCAGAGGCAGTTTGACTGTTTTGATATTAAAATGTCTACTTCCTATGAATTATTGGACAGATTTCAACTTACTTTTTATTTACTATTACGACTAAGAAATGATCAAGAAAATGTTGTAAAATGAAAACTGTGTCCCCAACCCATAGGAATATCCTTCAATTTCTAGGAGGGTACTTTTGCCCGTTGGTTAACCATTTCCATTCAGGCTATCACCTAAACACCAAAGTTATTTAGGCTCTAATGTTAAAAATCTTTTCATCTTTCAGATTGGTGAAACAAAATAGTGAAATTCGCAACTTCATAGCTTAGGTATTCTTGCAACATTTTTGGCCTGATTACTTTGATATTACATTGAAGTGTATTGAGGTAATTTTCAAAACCCTAAGGCCTTGTGTTTTATATTCTGGTTTTGATTAATTTTGTTTGTCCTTTAGATTACACAGGATCTTCCTGTCAGCTGACAACTTACCATTGTGGAACTGACCCCTGTCAAAACGATGGCACCTGTGTGACCGGTAGTGGCATGGATTTCTCCTGTAATTGTCGTGATTGTAAGTCAGAACTCATACTCTGATCCTACACTTCTCGTTTTCTTCTTATAGGTGACAAGATATTAGGTTATACCAGAGACATTGATTAAGATCATAAAAATGATTACATACCATCTTTAACTATAAATGAATGAAGAAATGTCACATAACTATCTTTAATTATAAGTTATTGTAGAAATGAACACCTAACTGTATGTCCTTAACTCTGAATGGTTGTAGAAATGGTCAAATAACTATTCTTAACTGTACATTTGTGTAGAAAGGGTCACATAACTATCCATAACTATAAACTATAATAGAAATAGACTCGATCATCACTATCCTAACTCTGAATGGTTGTAGAAATGGTCAAATAACTATTCTTAACTGTACATTTGTGTAGAAAAGATCGCATATAACTGTCCTTTACTATAAATACAGGGTTGCTAACCTCTAAGGAGTCGAGTGTGGGAGATCTCCCTCCACTGGGTTTTACAATGTGTGAGACTTTGGATGGTGTCACGGCGTAGTGCCGTTTTGGGTGTTGAGATAACATTTACCTAATTATCAAATAATCCTGGCTTTCTCCAACTACTTCAACATCGGCATTGTTGATCTTTCCACTTCAAAATCTTTGTAGGAAATAGAAACAAAACATATACAGATATATATTAGATTTTTATTTATCACACAAACAACCTGACATCAGAAATGGAACACATTATAATCAAAGGCCTTTCTTGTAACGATTTCTCTCTTTGGCTAGAACAGGTACCAGTCACTTTTTTTTTTATTTGCTGTCAATTTTGCTTTATGGCATGGGATGTTCCATGACCTGTTAAAAAAGTAGTAGTTCATATTAAAAGCAAGAACTTTACCACAGAAGTAATATAAAAAGTTCAATAACATGAAAGATAAAAAAAATATGATAATTTAACAATGAAAAATATTTTCCAAATATGTAATTTTTTCATCACATCAGATTGAAAGTGTTTAGTCCTACAAGTCTTCTGCGTGTTACATCATCATGATCATATATATACGCCACCATACTTAATACTGCGAAAATAACTTTTAACTTTTCATCAGCCTTCATTCGTCTGTTCGTGTTTCAAGAATCGTTTTCTCTTAGTATTTGTGAAGGCATGACCCGACAACAATCTTTCCTAAAACGCAATGACATTATTAGTAGAACTTTCTTTTCAGTGCGATATGTATGTTCAATATTAAGTTTACGAGTGAAAACAACATGCCTTACAGTATTTTACATTCGTTTCCACCAGATGTAAAGCGACACCTCGCGTCAGCTGACTTCCAAAGCACAACTTCCCTTTGTACGGTCCAAGCTAAAAAATGCCAATTTATGGCTTCGCGTGGAATGGAGGGAGAATATTTTCGAATGCATGAGATTTATGGCTCTCATGGCGTGAGACATGTTTCAGCATGAGGAAGGACGTCTCAGCGTGAGATTTTGTCTCACGCCGTGAGAGTTGGCAACTCTGTAAATAAATTATTGCAGATATTGTCGCGTAACTGTCCTTACTGTTTGTTAGTAGACTCAATACTGTTTATCTCTCTTATTGAAAGTTGGAATTGTCACACTCCTTTCCATCACTCTTAAATATCATAGAATTGGTTATATTATTATCTAGCAAATTTTCAGTAGTTCAATGAGCATTGATTTGCTATTGAAGGCTTATATTTATTCAGATCTACAAGATTAATATTATTACCAAATTGCCTGATTCTCTATGTATGACAAATATTTTACTACAGCTTACTATGGTACAAACTGTGATGGGTATACAGATCCATGTAGTTCAAAACCATGTACACCAGGAGCCAACTGTTTGTCAGATAAGGATAAGTACTTATGTTCCTGTCCTGGAGGAGCAGTCCCTACAGATAATCAGTGTAAAAGTAAGTTAGACGGTACACCTGTTTCATTCTCAAACTCATCCATAAATAAAATCCACTGTAACAATCTACTAGTAATCAACAATGTTTTAGTATAAATCATAATCAATGTAACAGTATACATCATCAACAATGTAACAGTTTAAATCATCTACAATGTAACAGTATACATCATCAACAATGTAACAGTTTAAATCATCTACAATGTAACAGTATACATCATCAACAATGTAACAGTATAAATCATCAACAATGTAACAGTATAAATCATCTACAATGTAACAGTTTACATCGTCTACACTATAACAGTATACATCGTCTACACTATAACAGTATACATCATCAACAATGTAACAGTTTACATCATCAACAATGTAACAGTATACATCATCTACAATGTAACAGTATACATCATCAACAATGTAACAGTAGAAATCATCTACAATGTAACAGTATACATCATCAACAATGTAACAGTATACATCATCTACAATGTAACAGTATACATCATCTACAATGTAACAGTATACATCATCTACAATGTAACAGTATAAAACATCAACAATGTAACAGTATACATCATCTACAATGTAATGTATAAATCATCTACAATGTAACAGTATACATCAACAATGTAACAGTATACATCAACAATGTAACAGTTTACATCATCTACAATGTAACAGTATAAATCCTAAACAATGTAACAGTATACATCATCAACAATGTAATGTATAAATCAACTACAATGTAACAGTATACATCATCAACAATGTAATGTATAAATCAACTACAATGTAACAGTAGAAATCATCTACAATGTAATGTATAAATCATCAACAATGTAACAGTATAAATCATCTACAATGTAATGTATAAATCATCTACAATGTGACAGTTTACATCATCAACAATGTAACAGTATACATCATCAACAATGTAACAGTGTACATCATCAACAATGTAATGTATAAATCAACTTCAATGTAACAGTAGAAATCATCTACAATGTAATGTATAAATCATCTACAATGTTACAGTTTACATCATCAACAATGTAACAGTATAAATCATCAACATTGTAACAGTATAAATCATCTACAATGTAACAGTTTACATCATCAACAATGTAACAGTATACATCATCAACAATGTAACAGTGTACATCATCAACAATGTAA